TTTCCTCATCCATGCTGGTGCTTCTTCTCTTCAGTTTACTCCACTTATTTTCTATTGAGTTCAGGTCAGGAAACTGGGATGGCCATAGCAGAAGCTTCATTTTGTGTTTAGTGACACATTTTGATGTTTGTTTTGGATCATGGTCCTGATGGAAGATCCAACCACGGCCCATTATAAGATTTCTAACAGAGGCAGTCAGGTTTAGATTTTTTTTTTATCTGTTGGTATTTGATAGAATCCATGATGCCATGTATCTTAACAAGATATCCAGGACCTCGGGCAGAAAAATAAGCCCATAACATTAAATATCCAGCTGTATATTTAACCGTGGGCATGGGGTTCTTTTTATCCCTGTTTGCACCGGTTTGCTGCCAAAATCTATTTTTTTAGTTTCATCTGACCATAGAAGCCAGTTCAGTTTTAAGTTCCAGTTGTGTCTGACAACTGAATATGCTGGAGTTTTTTTATGGATGAGTGAAGAGGATTTTTCTTGAAACCCTCTCAAACAACATGTGGTTAGGGCTGTCGCAGTGAAAGAATTTCCCTTGCGGTAATTTTGAGTGGCTCAATAGATTTCTATCTCAGAGATTTCGCTTTCCTTGGACATGACAATATATTTTCACAAATATATGTGACTCGGCCTGAAGGACAGACGCAAGTAATCACACTCGCATTCGCTGTCTGTTTAGGCTTGTTAAGTGGAAATCTATGGAGCATGGTACACATTGTTATCATTACTAACTTATGTAATATTCAGTACACATGCACGAAGTGTAAAGCGAGAAGGGCATAACCTCACGAAAAAAGAAAACGCAAAAATTGCGGTTGTTGCATTACTCTGAGGTTTGCTCGTCAATAGCACGGTATTGCTATATTACGTTATCGTGACAACCCTACATGTGGTGATGTAGGGGCTGTTTTTTTTTTTTTTTTTTAGGCTTTCTGACCCCAAGACTCAACTAATCTCTGCAATTCCCCAGCTGTGATCCTTGTAGAGTCTTTGGCCTCTCAAATGCTCCTCCTCACCGTGCATTAGGACGATATAGACACACGTCCTCTTCCAGGCAGATTTGTAACATCTTTAGTTGCTTGGAACTTCTTAATTATTGCCCTGATGGTGGAAATGGGGATGTTCACTGCTTTAGCTTTTTTTTTTCAGCCACTTTCTGTTTTGTGAAGCTCAACAATTTTGTTCTGCACATCAGAACTATATGTGACCCTGGACCACAAAACCAGTCATAAGGGTCAATTTCTCGAAATTGAGATTTATACATCATCTGAAAGCTGAATAAATAAGCTTTCCATTGATGTATGGTTTGTTAGGATAGAATAGAATATTGTTAGGATATTTTGCCGAGATACAACTATTTGTAAATCTGGAATCTGAGGGTGCAAAAAAATCTAAATACTGAGAAAATCGCCTTTAAAGTTGTCCAAATGAAGTTCTTAGCAATGCATATTACTAATCAAAAATTAAGTTTTGATATATTTACGGTAGGAAATTTACAAAATATCTTAATGGAAATGCCTAATGATTTTTGGCATAAAAGAAAAATCGATAATTTTGACCCATACAATGTTTTTTTGGCTATTGCTAAAAATATACCCCAGCGACTTAAGACTTTGTGGTTTTGTGGTCCAGGGTCACATATTCTTTGGGTTTACTCCTTATGATGGATGATTAGGGGAATTTGGGCTTTGAGCTCATATTTATAATCCTGTGGAACAGGAAGTCATAGCTGAACAATTTCATGTTCCTAGTCACCCTGGTGTGCTAAAAATGTAAATATGAATGGGAATATACTTCAGAGATATTTTACTCATAAGAATTTCTAGGGGTGCCAATAATTGTGGCCAACATGCTTTGAACAAAAGCATGTATTTCATAATGTGAGTTTCCCCCCACTTTCAGTTGTTTTACTTCAATGAAATGTTAGAATTTTGTGAATTCTTTGAATGAAAGATCAAAAAGATAAACAATGCATTATTATGCAGTTCAAGTCTACTGTAATAATGCAAGTCTGTGGTTAAAAAAAGTAAAACATTGATAGAAAAAAAGGAAAAACTTGGTTTTATATTTTGCTTTCTAATTCAGTGAAGATCATATATTAAGTGATTTATTTTTAAGTTTCTAGGTGCTTTTGGAGGCCACCCAGGGCTCATGTCTCGGCTAATAAATATGACCTCTCAACCTTTTCCACCAGGTGGCGGCATTGCTTGATGCTCTGAGCTCAGTCTACGCATACAAGAATAAGAAGGCGAGAGCAGAACAGCATGCCAAGCACAAAGAATTCCTGCAGCAGAAAGAGAAACAGGACGCAGAAAGGCAGAAGAGGCTGAAAGAAGAGAGAAAGAAGACCTACCGTGCAATGGGACAGAAAGAGAAGAAGAAACTCAAGTCCAGCCTGAAGGGAGCATCCAAGAACAATTGAGTCTACCTCACACCTGATTCTGTTCATCTGTAACTCCAGGCCAATCGGATCAGTGTCTGTTAGGCTCTTAGTTGGACTGTTTGAAATGCGCCATAATTCGATTCCCACACCGGCTGCTGTTTCTGAGCTGGCTCAAGAGTCGAGATGATGACACTGCAGCAGACCCTGAAGTTTTTTTTTGTTTTTTTGTTTTTTTTACCCTGGTTTTGCTGACGTCTTTAGAATATACAATCTCCTTAGAAACAAGAACAATAAAACTGCCTGGTTAATGTTTAGTGAATCTAAAATGATTTTCTATTAAACAAAACATATATGCTAATGCTTTACAATAAGGTTCAATTTGTTAATATTAATGTATTAAATATAATGAACTAACAGTGAGTATTTTTACAACACTGATTAATCTAGAAGATTAATTCATAAATATCAAACTTGTTCATTAATTCATGTTTATTTATAATACATTAAGAAATGTATTTTAAAACTTGTTAAAATATATTAGTACATATATGTATAAATTAACCTACATTAATAAATGCTTTAAAATGATTGTTCATTGTTAATTTTACTATTGCATTCACTAATGTTAATAAATTGAACCTTTTTGTAAACTCCAACCAAAAAAATCCATAATGCATCAAAAAAAGTATATATAGCCATTTCTTACTGATGTTTCCTGCAGTCACGTTAAACTGCTTATACTTATTTTATGTTTGTTTTAATAAAAATTGATGTGTGACTGGAAAAATGGGAAGGAAATGACATTTGTTGTCAAGATTAAAGGGTGGGATACTTGTCAGCATTCAGTGGTAATGCATGTAATGAATTTTTGAGCAGGGGCTGGAGGTGCCCACTAGCGTTCTCTGTTATAGCCTACTCATTGGCACTTCAATTTTGTCCTGGGCCCTGTTATTTTAAGCAACAGCCCTGTTTTTTAGGGCTTATTACCGAGTTGGAGTGAATTTTTGAGTGGTTGTGAGCTATTGAGTCAGACATAATCCGGTGCCTACTGCTGAGCACTTTCCAGAATATACGTTGTTGTTTTTCCTCACAAAGCAAAATGGCAGGTTGATGAAAAACCTAAGAATAGCAACTGAACTGCAATATGTCAGCATCCGGGATTGTATGGACAGATGTTTAATAGTGTGGGGAGTGTCTCCATATGTGTGATAGCGATTTATTGATGGTGGCGATTAAGCATGTGAGGTGTTTCAGTGTCTTTAGAGGAAGTAAACATCACTGAGAGTGTCCTGCACAGCCAAGAGTCTCATGGGGACTACATGATACATGTCTGTCGTGCACCAGTCTCCAAACAGTAGCAATTAACAGCACCGTTTTGTTCTTCAAATGTCTTATGCTTGAATCAGCTGGCGGGTAGTCACGCAAACCAGCCAGACCTTTGACATATTGACTATTCTGTTTAGGACGGGTTATCTAAAATAGATTATATTGTAATAATAGACTGTCATGGGAGAATTAATTGAAATTTGTCTCTGTGAACAACTGCACCGAAAACACTGGGAAAAATAGTGGAAAATATGTCTTAAAAAAAGAACTACATAGAAAACAAGAACTAATGAAAATGACAAAAGCACATACTATTTATAAAAAAAAGTAAACTAAAACTAAAAATATTAATAAATATACTATAATAGTATATTATACAGTATAAATATTACTAAAAATAACACTGCACTCTGGTAAATTCAGTCATTGGTTCCTCTTTGTGCAAACCTTGTAAACATCACTTTGTATTCAGACACCCTGGTCCATTTCCGTAAACTAAAAGGTAGCTTTGTGTTATTAGGGGTTATTGGTGGTGGTTGTTCCATTGTTTCTGGCTGGGATTGTATGGTAACCCATACTGTTGAAGTAAAGCTGATTGTAGTGGATCTGAAAACACTGCATGCCCACTGCATGGGTTTGTTCACTGCAACTCTAACAGTTTTAAGTCTAAGTATCTTTTTATTGCTTTTCTTTTGTTGAGTCTAGATATACTAATTTTTCCCAAGGTTGCCCATTTTGTCTCACCACCATTTTACATTTTATTGCAAACTGCTGTCTTTTAAGTGTAACTAATCAAAGTCAAGCTTCATTGAAAACATGTTGTAAGGGTGGTATGGCAGAAAAAAAAAAACAAATAGATGTTTTTCCCAACCTGTAGTAGCAATAGCTACATTTTGTCCTTTCCTTAGCAAGTTAACTTATGGCAGAAGGTTGTTTGTTCCAACCCTCATGAACTATCTCAGTTTTGTGCTGTGAAGATCAGTTTAAGGTCAGTTTAATGCATGTCGGCGTCATGTTACATTGGCTGGCATTTGACAGGAACCCTTTGTGTCCAGGCTAATGGCTTTGTTACTTTTTTATGACTGTCTTCGGTTGCCTGGTATATCAATAAGTATCTAATTTTCCATTCCCCAACAGTCTTATCAATCGCTGATGGCCATCGGAAAAACACCTGCTTGACTGGAAATATATGGGTAAACTGAAACGGCCTTTTCCATGATTTTTTTCATCACAGTTTCTCTGTCTGTCACCCTGCACCTCTACTCCACTCTACACTGTTTGTCAGGTCTTTGTCAGTGCTGCTAGCTGAAAGAGCTCCTTCCTCTTGAACAATGTGCAGATTAGCAAGGTCAGCCATGCACTTCACAGAAACCCGATCCCCCTTTACGCCTCTGTGTGAGTGTGCAGGAAGTCACAGAGGTAACTTGGTGCTCAGGGACATGGGACATGCGGAATCATAGAGGGACACTTGTGTAGGCTGGAAAATTACGGGGGTGAGGTGGTCACACTACATTTGAATATGCACAGACATTTCATTTTTAGTTGCAACTTGCATACCAATGTATCCATTTGATTAACTTATATTTTTGCCCGACAGAAGACCTGCCTACCTGAAAAAAAAAAACTTGCTTTTTTGTTTTTTTAGGTCTTTTTTGAAAAGCTGAACTTGAATAGTTCAGCTTTTCACTTCACAAAGCATTAATTTATGGACTGGAGTCGTGTGGATTATTGTGATGTTTTTATCAGCTGTTTGGACTCTCATTCTGACATTCTGATGCGGCTGGTCCGAGATAAGCTACTTTAGCTTATACCTGCTAGCATGTTCCCAAACACTACCAGCTTAAGCTTGATTTTCCAGCAGGAACAAATAAGTGCAAAGGTGCAAGATTTTTTAGTGTTGGTATATTTTAAAGGAACACTCCACTATTTTTGAAAATAGGCTCATTTTCCAACTCCCCTAGAGTTAAACAGTTGAGTGTTACCATTTTCGAATCCATTCAGCCGATCTCCGGGTCTGGCGTAGCACTTTTAGCTGTAGCTTAGCATAGATCATTGAATCTGATTAGACCAGCGCCTGAAAATAATCTAACTTCTGTCAACATGACCAACGTGACCACCAGCTTGCATAGGGAGCGTGCTGCGTAATATCACTGCGCCTGCTGCACCCATGGTACGGCAGCAAGGTTCCTTGATTATTACGCCAGAATGAGAGTATAGTTCCTAGCTATATCGGCCTAGAAAATCGAAACTTTTCATTTTCCGTCGGTCTTAGTACACGATGTAACTACAGAAGAGTCAAGTTTTAAATAGGAAACTGTGGAGCTTCTCTGCCTGCAGGGGTCCTGGAGTAGTTCTCCTCCAGACGTGGTGATCACTTCCTCCTGCAGGAAAAGCAGACCATCAGCCAACAAAACCAACATCAGTCCTGGGACAACCGAGCATTAGCAACACTCTCAATTCTCTGCATCAAACACACAGATGGAAGGACAGGTGTGCTCGCCACATCTATGTTCCTCATACCCCATGGGGTCTGCAGGCACCCCGTGAGCATGTTTGTCAGTCACCCTACCACAATAGTACTACCTGGTAAACAGAAGTTCCCGCTTACCTTATGGAAGTCAATGAGATCAGCTAAGGTGGTGTGACGGTTCTGGTCTACACCTAGGAAGCTGTAATAATCACCCGATGCGTCGATGAGGAAGTGCTTAAAGCCTGAGGTGGTGCGGTAGGACAGCGTGTAGCCCCAGATCCGTTCACTCACTCTGACCAAGAAACAGCCATCTGCCGCATTCGCTAGCAAAGCCTCTGACTCCTGCCGTGATATGATTCCTGCAGAGGCAGGAGACGAGTGAGAGTGAGAAAGACAGATGGATAGCCGGAGACGGGACGAGGCAGAGTGACAGACAAGAAGATGCAGATATGGAGAGAGATTGAGTGAGAATACAGGTGTTGTGCTCTGATTTTAGAGTGACGCTGGCAGCGCTCTCGTGTTTCCTGGTCGAATAGCGTCACTCAAATGGTCGTTAATCTTATCATTGTCCAATCAGAGGCCACACACTGGGGCTCCAATAATCCTGGCACAAGTGGTGAATTATTGAGTTTTTCTGTCTGCTTCTTTTTTCATCTCTCTGTCTCTTTCATTATTATTTTTTTTCCATTTAATCAATGTCTTTCCTTCATTGCAACCACTAAACTACTGCTCGTTTTCACTAAACTGTGACTTCTGAGGCCATTTCTAAAAAAATACATCGGAGGCTGTTGTGACTCCTGTCAACATTGCCCCAATGCACTGAACTCTTTGGAGTGCAGTGTCAGCTGTGCCCTAGCGCAAGTGTCGTGCCGAAAATTGATCGTCTGCCGAAAACTGATTGGCGCCTGTAATCACTTTTTGGCAAGTGTAAAACTGCATTTTATGGGTTTTATTGGCCAGTTAAAGGTATTTCAACAGGTAAAAAGGAATGCATGAGCTATAATCTGTCAAATAGAACCCTCGAATGCAATCAAGTCATTTAGCTTATGCAGTCCTTTTTACCTGTTGAAATAGGCCTACCCATAAAACGCAGTTGCCGATAAGTGATTACAAACTCTACTTATTGAGTGAACTTTTCTTTCTGCCTCAAATCACTTTTTGGCAAGTGTAAAACTGCATTTTATGGGTTTTATTGGCCAAACAGGTCAAAAGTACTGAATGAGCTATAATCTATCAAATATAACAGCCATGAATGAAATCAAGTCATTTTGAGTCAGAAAGAACAGTTCACTCAATAAGTAGAGTGTAATCACTTTTTGGCAAGTGTAAAACTGCGTTTTATGGGTATTTCAACAGGTAAAAAGGACTGCAAGCTAAATGACTTGATTGCATTCGAGGATTATATTTGATAGCTCATGCAGTCCTTTTTACCTGTTGAAATACCTTTAAATGGCCAATAAAACCCATAAAATGCAGTTTTACACTTGCCAAAAAGTGATTACAGGCGCCAATCAGTTTTCGGCAGATGGTCAATTTTCTGCACGACACTGGTCAAGCGTTGTAATGTGTTACTTGAAGTTCAAACAACTTCAACTGACCCCGTTTGCCACTGGCCTTTTGAAGCGCAGTCAATGGTTAACAGACAGTTTTCATGATGTGTCTTTGCAATCTTTGCGATCTTTTGCAGTCTTTTTCAACCTTTTTCTTGCTTTCCAACTATACTTGTAATTTTTCATACACGATTTTGCCTCTTTCATCTATCTATCCACTGCCATTCAAAAGCTTGGGGTCGGTAAGATTATATATATATATATATACTGTATATATATTTTTAGAAGTCTCTAATGCTTACCAAGGCTGCATTTATTTGACGAAAAATACAGTAAAACTGTAATATTGTGGAATATTATTAAAAACTAAAAAAAAAACTTTTTTATTTTGATATATTTTAATATGTAATTAATTTTAACGTGTTACATGATCCTTCAGAAATCATTCTAATATGCTGATTTGGTGCTCAAGAAACATTATCAGTGGTGAAAACAGTTGTGCTGCTTAATATTTTTTTTGGAAATCATGACATTTTTCAGGATTCTTTAATGAACTAAGAGTTAAGAAATGTCTTTCACATTTTTAATCAATTTAATGTGTCCTTGTGGAATAAAATAATTAATTTCTTTAAAAAAAATCGTACTGACTCCAAACTTATATATATTATAATTGTTTTCATACTTTTTTGCTGTTATGCAATGTTTATTTGCTAATTATTTTTCTGAAATTATGTGTCGCATCATTTTACTCAGCAGAATGTCAACCCCCACGTGATGTGTCTTTTGCTTTCATAGTTTGTGTTCGTTTTAATGTTAGTTCACAATCTCATGAAATCACCCTTCCATGACACTATCTACTTCTTATGTGGAGGTCAAAGCATGATGCTCATAATAAGCCCTGGTGTGAGCTGTGAAAGGGCCTTAGGAACGTTCTAGCTGTCTTTACCGTGGAACCAGGGTGCGATGGTGTTGCTACTTCGCTCATATCCCGCTCGTCTTGGTCTCTGCTCGTCTTTAAACCAGCGGATAATGGACTCACGAGAGTTCGGTCTGGGTGGACGAATCCAAACTGGGCTGAAAGGCAATGGAAGACAGTATTGTGATAGTTAACATGCAAATCTATCATTATTTGTTTCACTTTATTCTGCCATTGCTTACCAGAGTATGTCATTTACTCTAATATTAACTACTCTAATATCACACTCGCAAAAAAATAAATGGGTTATGGTCGAGATCATTTATTATTGATTTGATTATTGATTTTACCATTCTGTGAGTGACTGTGTGACTGGACTGTTGTAATGTCGGTGTTGTCTGCGCCTGTAATGGCCTGAGGTAAGTTGGCCAGAGCTAGCTGCAGGTGAATGGGTGGCCTCAGTTGGAGGGGTCGGATGTTCAGTGACCGCGCCATGCCGTCGGTTGTGACCCGATCCGTTCAGGTGTGTCTTATGGAACAGGCCGCTGAGTCCAGCCACCAGGCCCTTCTCGATGCCCCGCAGAGACTGGCGCTTATATTCATTTCTAGCCCGTCGTGCCTTGCACTTCATCTCCTCATCCGCCGCCTTGGAGCGTCGCACTGTGGGAAGCGGAGAGGAATTTGAATAGAAATAAGCTACTTTGTTTTAGAGCAGCCAAACTACCCATTTTCTTTCCCATTCTGTTTGTTCTCTCACATTGTTCCTGCCATTCTTTGTCATCTCTCTCGTTCCTCTTTTCCTCCTGCTTCAGAGAGATGTACAGCTCCTTTGCTCTCCTCTCCTCTGTTTGGCGGATTTCTTCCTCGCCTCGCTGTCTCTCTTCCTCCTCACATTGCTGTGAATAAAGGAGAAAGAATCAGTCCTTGCTAACACAAAGGCACAGAAGTTTCAGCCCAGCTTGCTTTAGTTTTTTTTTTCATTTTCTGTGTCATTAAGCTGCGAATATAAATTATTAATTTGGTGGACAATGTCATTAACCCAAACATTAGTGCTTTCAACTCTATTATAGATCAGGCATTCCAATGTTGGCCTTGGGTCTCAGAGATCACTATCTACATTCTGAGAGGTTGCCAACTTTTAAATAATTCATTCTCAGAACATGGAACACATAGTAATTAAGCTTAATTAACCTCAATCTCTATTATGAGACCATGATTAAAGACCTGGTTGAAGAATAAATGCAAGGACCCTTAACTATTGGATCTTTTGAGCCGCTGAGATCACAATTGTTATGCTATTTTTTAGGGGGTTATACATTTATTATAAAGGGTGCTTTAAAAGTAGTTACAATTAGTAGCAGTCACCCATGAAAAAAATTAATGAGTGATTCTTAGTATGTGTACATGTTAATCTAATGAGACCAACCAGTGTTATTTTAGTAGATTTGAGATATTGTTATCCTTTTTATTAATTAGCAAATTAGTTTTTATTTTTATTTATCTGTTTTAATTTTAGATAAAGTTTTAGTAATTATGTTGTGTGTTTTTGTAATTTTTATTATAATTTTTTAATTTGTTTATATAGTTTTTTAAAATAAATTTTTATTTTAGTTTAGGTTTTAGATATTTTAGTACATCAAGTTAAACTAAACAAAAATAAGAATTGTTGTTTGGCAACTAGCTGAAATAAAATGAGTTCAAGTACTTTTATATTTTATTTTATTTTACTATATTTTATTTCAGTTTTATTTCAAGTACAAATTTGCTTTATGGTTTTAGTTGTAGTGTATGTACTCTCATTTTTTGTTGTTTTACTGCACCGGCCAGTTAGGAATGGATGAGTGGATTCAGCCTCAAGCAAAGGTATTTAGAATAATCAAAATTATGAGGACAAGTACTTCAAAATCCACTTGGCTTTAATATCTGAGGGGACACGAGGCATGACGCTGTATTTGATGTTTTGTTTAGAACTGTGTCACCATTTCAAAAGATGCATAAAATATTCTGTGTTTTTGTCATATACTCAAAGGAACATACTCCAGCCAGTCCCACCTTCAGTTCCTCTCTAATGCGATCTTCCTCTTCTTCATGCCTGGCTGCCTTTCTGTCATCTGTCTCCTCCTTCCATTTTTCTGCCATGAACCGAGCCTTTTCCTTCGCAATGGCATCTCGAAACTTCTTTTCAATCTCTGCCTCCTTCACACGCCTCGGGAAATTCAGCAGGGGTTGAGTGATGCACTTTCTATCTCCCTATACTTCTATCATCATTACCCTGACACCCCCCTCCCCCCCCAACCCTCTCAATTTTTAGCTGAATCACATCTGTAAATCTTCACCCACCCCTAGTGTCCCACTGCTCCCATCCCTTGACCCTGTCCCATGGTTCTCTCACCGGAGTTCCTGTGCCTCTTGCTGGGCCTGCTTCCTGGCTCTCTCCTCCATCAGTTCTTCCACAATGTCTTCAAAGGGCTTGTCCCCCAGGGCCTCCCCCATTACCCATACCCACACCTCTCCATGTGAGCCCAGAAGCCACTGAATGCCTCTGCGGTCGCCTGGGAAGAGACAGCAAATATGAAAAAACATATTTCTTCCACTTTCCAGACCCATCAGACCGTATTCAGATAAGATAAAGACAAAATAACACAGACGGCATGACAAAGCTGGAAGAGTTTATCCTACTGGGATCCTGTGTACACTGTGGTAACATGACAACTGAACAAGATAATGTAAGAACTTTTGAAAACAAGGGTACATTACCTGTCAGCACACACAATCAGTGACGCAATTTGATGCAGGAAGATTGCGCTTGCAATATGATGTAAACCTAATCTTGCTCATTTGCACCACTGCCTTAAAGTTGAAGTGTGATGTTTTATAGATATACTTTCTGAAATACTTTCTCCTATCCCCCTTATTATGCAGAGACAACTATACACCATTCGTAGACTGAATTACCCAAAAAGTGTTACCACTGTGGCGCTTTCAGCACAATGCTCTCTTTCAGCATATGAGCCAGCCCTATGCAGCAACATTGGTTCCGTGGAGTTTGAGGTGGAACTGCTTGTCAAAACAAGGGAAGATGGGTAAGTTTTCAAACCTGTTTTAAAACAATCATTATTTCTGCACTTTTCATTTGGTGATGCCAATGGAACAAAATTACACACTTTAACCTCACAACACAATCTATGAAGAAATTGTTTTCTATTTCATAGAAAAAAATATTTCTTAATGACTTAACTACTTTAAAGGGCAAAATAAAATGAACCTTTAAAATATTTACTATAAATATTTACAATATTTCTCATGATGATCAAAATAAATTAATACTTTTGGATAAAAGGATGCATTAAACTGGTATAAAGTGACAGAAACAAAATATTTATGTTTCAAATAAATGCTGTTCTTTTGAACTTATATTCATCAAAGAATACTGAAAAAATGTATCACAGTCCCCCCAAAAATATTAAACAGCACAAATGTTTTTAGAATTGCTAATAATACGAAATACTTCTTGAGCACCAAATCAGCACATTAAAATGATTTCTGAAGGATCATGTGACACTGAAGAGTAATGGCTGATGAAAATTCAGCTTTGCCATCACAAGATAAATTACATTTTATAAAATATTAAAATAATAAACAGTATTATTATTTTTAGTAGTAGTAATATTTTGTAATAAACTGTATTTTTGATCAAATAAATGCAGCCTTGGTGGACTGACCCCAAACTTTTGAATGGTAGTGTATATGTGCAAAGAATTACAGTAACAGACATAATATTATAAGACAAAATGTATGTGTAATCATGCATTGCGTAATAAATTCAAAGTTTGGTTTAAAAAGTGTGCTTGAGTTATCTTTCTTAAATAAATGCCACTTGGTTTGCTAATTTGTTATTTAATGCAAAGACAATGTGACACTGAAGAGTAATGGCTGATGAAAATTCAGCTTTGCCATCACAAGATAAATTACATTTTATAAAATATTAAAATAATAAACAGTATTATTATTTTTAGTAGTAGTAATATTTTGTAATAAACTGTATTTTTGATCAAATAAATGCAGCCTTGGTGGACTGACCCCAAACTTTTGAATGGTAGTGTATATGTGCAAAGAATTACAGTAACAGACATAATATTATAAGACAAAATGTATGTGTAATCATGCATTGCGTAATAAATTCAAAGTTTGGTTTAAAAAGTGTGCTTGAGTTATCTTTCTTAAATAAATGCCACTTGGTTTGCTAATTTGTTATTTAATGCAAAGACATTCATACATTTTTATAAGTGGCTTAAATGTCAAAATACTTCTTGTAACCACTTTATTAAAAACACTCATGTTTCATTTGTATAACTCATCAAATAAAGGTACAAAATGAACCCTGGACTCACTCTTTTTTTTCAAAGCATGGCTGGGGTCTCTTCTCTCCCTCTCGTTCCAGCGCCGCACCTGCTCCTCCCGAATCTTATAGAAGAGGATCTGTTTCTGCTCTTCGTTGAGTTCAGACAACAGCTCAGGATCTGTATACATGTCCTGAAGAATCTGCTGCATCATCCTGACAGCCTGCCAGGTATATGTCTCTCTCGACTCCTTTGACCTTTGTCTGTAGTCACCGCGGACTGCAAGCCCAAGTGTGTCTGTCTCTCAGGATCAATCTTCACTGGCTGAGAAAGGCCCAAGGTGTGTCCAGTATAATGCACAACTGATTTGAAGCTCTTTTAGAGGGTGTCATAACAACTGTGAGCCCTCTCCTTCCTTTCACCCTCTATTTTATATACCTCTCTGTTCAACAAGTGTTGATCACAACTGCATCCCTTCCTTTAATCTTGACCCAAGTAGGGTCACTTTCTCTCCACTTCTCGCATGCTGCAATGGTGTTTTGTTCTTGCGTTTAGATCCTTTATGGGGTTTAATTTCACCCTCTCCCCCCCTCTATCTGTCTCCTGCAGTGACCCTACAGACCAGGTGTGTCTGAAACTGCTACCTGTGTGTGACAGCTCTAAATGTTTTTTTTTTCAGCTCCTTTGCAGGTTAAAATGTCTGTGGATATAATTTTTGTTACTGTAGTTCTAGACTAAATGTGAACATGCAGTTACTCACCTCCCTTGCACACAAACACATTCAGTATTCCTCAAAATGAATAAAACAGTGAAAAGCAAACCTGCAAAAAGTAAATGTTAAAGGGGTGGTTGATTGCGATTTCCCTTTTTTTAACGTTAGTTAGTGTGTAATGTTGCTGTTTGAGCATAAACAATTTCTGCAAAGTTACGAAGCTGAAAGTTCAATGCAAACGGAGATATCGTCTTTTAAAATTCTGGCAGTTTAATGTGTGAAATTTGGGAGTATAAAGACTGAAATATAATTTTCCTGTAAAATGTACTGTAAAAACTTGGAAAAGATACATTTAAACAAAATATAAATAAACACCTAGAATACTTCCAAAGTCAAAGACACACAGTTTTGGGGGTAATGTAATCAGTAATCAGATTACTTTTTTCAAGTAACTAGTAAAGTAATGCAATACTTTTTAATTTACAAAAAAATATCTGAGTTACTTTTTCAAATAACGCAGATACTTTGTTTTCCCATTTATTGACTTTCAGCTCTTCTGTCCCCATGGTGAGAGAAATCGGGAGTAAGTGCAGAGGCGTTGTGTGCGCTGTGTAAACATGATTGTTACTGTAGTTCTAGACTAAATGTGAACATGCAGTTACTCACCTCCCTTGCACACAAACACATTCAGTATTCCTCAAAATGAATAAAACAGTGAAAAGCAAACTCAGAATATAAGCAAACCTGCAAAAAGTAAATGTTAAAGGGGTGGTTGATTGCGATTTCACTTTTTTTAACGTTAGTTAGTGTGTAATGTTGCTGTTTGAGCATAAACAATTTCTGCAAAGTAAGTAAGCTGAAAGTTCAATGCAAACGGAGATATCGTCTTTTAAAATTCTTACAATACAACCGGAGCACATGCCGCTGAGGTGAGGGGCCATTTAATCCCATTTTATTAACCAGGTCTTTGCTGCTGACCTTCAGTGATCCTTTTCCATAAAAAGTAACAAAGTAACACAATTAGTTACTTTTTTAGGGAGTAACGCAATATTGTAATGCATTACTTAAAAAAAAAAACTTTCCCCAACACTGAAGACGCACTGAATTCACTAGAATGAATCAGGATTTCCAGAGCTACACGGGGTTGGTTTACGGCAACCTGATTCACTAGAATGAATCAAACTTTCTAAAGCCACATAAGAGAGGAGGAGGGTCATTTAAGATGAACCAGTTCACTAGAATCAATACAAATGTGACATTAATAAACACTGCTAATCGTGGCCTTTATGTGCCCTGCCCCCCTTCAGCTTTAGTGTAATTAGCTACTTTTTTTGTAGTTTATAACTTACTACTTCTTCAAAAGTGCAGTTTGTCCTGCAGTTTATTTGCTTGAACAAATAAGTAGTTTGTAGCTTGACATGCTACATTGTCAAACCAGCTTGCCCATCACTGGTTCTGTGCATTGTAATTGTCTTTCTGACATCAGTATTTTCATCTTCATGTCTCTCTTCACGTCTTGTCCCTTGCCGCCCTTTGGACCTGATTTCTACAAGGGGCTTTTCATGTTCTGCATAAAGCCCCCCTGACCTCATAATTACTCTTCTTCTCTCTCCTGACTATTATTCTAGTGTCACTTATTCATCATGGTCACTATTGGCCAAAGGGAACAGAGAACAAGAGCAAGGGAAACAGAATGAAGAATGAGAAGAAGAGAGAAAGAAAGAAAGAAAATGAACAAATTAATGCATTTGGCGATTATCAAACTGAAACGTTTTATGGAAATTGTACATTCGAAAACACTACAGTGGTAATATTTTCTGCTGAAACCTGTCAAAGAGTTTTCCGCATTAATGGGAGAACTCCAACACAAATGCTAATTACACCATTGATGTAATAATCATGTCTAACAGTGAGACTCGTTATCAAATACAATTAATCAAAAACAAAACCCTGTCATGCCTGTCCAAAGCTCAGTGTTTACACTAACACAGCTAATTCATGGTGGGCGAATTTGGGCAAAGATCGAGACTAATTATATAATTTAGCCTTTCGCACCGCACAGCCAGCACTCTGCATGTTTACTTTCCTTTCCACTCATCCCTGCAGACTTGCGACCTGAGAGGGTCTCGCTTCCATTATGTGGAAAGCAGTGGCTTTTAAAATCGCTACTGCAGTCAAAGATGTGTGTTGGATGTTTATGTCAGTGTTCCTTAATAAAACAGGAGCACTTTTCATCTTCATCTGATGACCTGTCAAGCCAAATTGGCCCTTATAGACAGTAGAGGACTGGGAGGAGACGGTTTCCATGCGAGGCCATTAAATAATGATTATTCACTCCATCTGATCGCTGTGCATCTTGCATCCAGATTGATACTTGGTGTTTATTTAATGCGGCACAGCAACATATGCTGAACTTGTTTGATCTTTACTGTCATGGAGTATTTTTTAATGCAGGCTTGAGCATGAAGAAAAGTAACTTCTTAAAGTGAAGGATGGAGCAGAGGAGACTGAGATCTGCATTGACAGCTGTCTGCCACTGCTAGGGAAAAAAACAAAACAACAACTGTGAAACAGTGGGATTGTGGGTTGCTGTATCCAGCAATGTCCACTAGAGGCCACTGTTTTTCAGTGCAACCACAGTGGGGGTAGTGTAACCCATCATCGGTAGTAAGTCAGTGCCCTTGCCTCCCTCTCAAAACATAATTACTGCAGCCAGAATTGGTCCATCCGGCCCGAGCCCCATCCAGTAGACTCTTCCTGTGTGTGGTAATGAGAACAGCGCAGACGGCTCAGAAAATGAAAGTGGAGGAAAATGAGAGACAATAGTGACACAGACAGGCTGACATGGCATGTCAATTTGACCTGGGGATGAAACAGAAAGTAATCATATACACATACGCAGCAGTCATACTGTGCTTGGCTTGATGCCTCTAATTCCATATTCAGATCTCATTTACACTGCAAAGGTCACACATTCCTCATTTCTAAATAATATGATGGAGGCAGTAAGTGTCTGAAACTAAACCTTCATTTCACAGTGTTTGAATCAGTTTTTTGGCGTCGCAGAAGAACCCTGCTGCTTTTCTCATTGGCACCTCAGAGGACGCGTCCCCTTTTGCCTCCTGCAGGTCATTCTCTTGAGGAAGCCTCTGTCAGAGTCTGTCATCAGCGCCAGCTGTGCCTTGGTGAAACCAGCATATAGACAGGCAGTTTTATTTGCGGCTTGTCAAGCTATATCTGGGCAAAGGTGAAAAACGTAGCAATTAACAATTAGCAATTAAAAATGTGATAAAAATTAATCTGTGTGAAAGTATACATTGGATAGATTGACAGATTTGATTGTAAAATGGATTTCTGTGGACGTTCAGTGATATTAAATAACAAATCAATAAAAATATTTACTTTTAAAGCATCTTTTTGTAATGTCCGTTTAACTGATTTGTCACACTAGTAGCCTAATGTATTTGAATTGCCTTCATTTGAGCGATTTTCTCTGCAATCATTGATTTATGCAATTAACTAGATATGATGTCATTAATTCAATTAAAGTTTTCAGTTGATTGACAGCTCCATCTCTGTTGTAACCACAAATTTAACAGGAGATCCTGTCGTCTCCTGACCAAAGACAAATAACCAGACAAACAGTCATAGACAAAAACTGTGACACTGATAAATATTTTTATGTGACTGCTGGGAAGGTTGTGATAGTACCCTTCACATTTATGATTGTGAGTTGTATTTTATTATTTATTGATTTGCCCAATTTTGATTGTGACCCATGAGATGGAGGTAGAGAAGCTATCTAGAGAAGATGGCTTTTCAACATCACTTTGTCTCAGTAGTCGAGGTTGTACACATATGCTTGTTTATTTGTCTATGGAGTTTGTTTGCGTTTACCTATGAAAATATATTATATTTGTGAATTAGTAATAAAATAACATCATATATATATATATATATATACAGTGGGTACGGAAAGTATTTTATGTATGTGTACTGCATTTAAATACATATAATTTAGATATTGGAAGGCCTTATATAGTAATATTGTTTAGTACAGTATTTTTGTTTTATATGGTAATATGATATATAATCTCTGGTAATAGGCTATGTTTTAGTGACATTATTATAAAAATGTTGTTAATGTTTATTTTAATCACAATATAATTAATAGTAACGATTTGCAGTAAACTGAGTTAGTAAATCAGATTTTCAGTAAACACTGAATTATTCTGTAGTGAGCCATTTAAGATTTATGAGTTCGTCTGTGACTCGGTTCACTGAAAAGAACCGCATATAGAGTCATTCATCTGCGAATCGGACGACACTGGTAGGTAGCACTGTTATGTGTTTGTGTTGCGTGTAATTAGCGCGGATAATGCAATGCAGGGCAGGCTTTAGCTGCATCAGAATTCCCGAACTTTCCGAGTATGAATTTAATTCAATGACGAACTTCCAGACGGTTGATGGAATTCGTTCTTTAGATACGCAGGTGAGTTGAA